CCCATAGCACTGTCAGTTTCGGGATAAACGAAGTATAGTATCGTCGTGACGACGTGACGCCGTGAATATGTCGTGCCTGGAGTTCGTAAGCCGTTGTCCTCCAGCGATGTCAACACGCAAGCTTTTCTCCTTCGCCTTTCCAGCCCTGCTTTGTGCGTCTGGCCAGCTCTTCGTACGAGGCTTTGCGCAGAGGTGGCCGTCGATTATTTCCTCTGAATCACTTTCACAACATTCCGCCATGCAAAATATTCTTTCTCTTCGTTCTTAAAGCTTGCAAAGAAATTTTATAATTTATGACAAAAGTAATTTAAAAAGTAATAAGTAATTTGCTCGAAATTACTGCCTGAAAGTAATTCATTACAATACTAAATTACTAGCCTACACTCTAAAAAAGCCCGCGCGTCCACTTTTCCGCACAACACTCGGAAAGCCAATCACCGCAACTTACAAAGGCAGCTTAGCGAATGACGATGCCGAAACATATGTTTAGACCAAAAAACGCAGTCTGAGTTGTGACATTCAGCAATGCAAGCGTGACGTTTTGCATTGCTTAATGTCACAACTCAGACTGCTTTTTTCGGTCTAAACATATGCTTCGGCATCGTCATTCGCTGAGCTGCCTCCTTATTTTGCGGTTATTGGCTCGCCGAGTGCTGTGCGGGAAAGTACACGCACGGGCTTTTCTTAGGGTGTAGAGAAGTAATTCATAACATTACTCCGAAAAGTAATTTAATTACTGTAATTCCTCTACAGTAATATCATTACTGCCATCTCTGTTGACAGGCAATGGTGGCCGAGCTGCCAGCAAACGTCATGTCCAGGCCCCGCCCCCACTCATCCCCGAGCGCGCGCACACACACACGCACACACTGCAGCGGCGGCCGGGCCTCACATTCCGGCGCCGAGGCACTCTCGTCCTCGAAAGCCGCGCCGAGGAGGCGACAACAAAGGCTCCCCTTTCAGCCCGTGAGAAGTTGACCGTAGCGTTGATGATGTTCCCGTGGTGGCATAGGAAAGGGTTTGGCCGGATTCTCCGCAAGTAGCGTCAGAGGATAATCCGAACCGAACACACCCTCACGAAGGTCCCGCACAGCTGGCGCGCCGTCACCCGGAATCTTCGCCCGGTAATCCCCCCGGTTCCTGCGTCGAGAGACTCCACTTCCGGCCAACGTAATCGCAGCCAGAAAGAAGGGTCCGGCTCAGCGTCGCGCCTAGGTGAACACGGTTCCGGGCGATGTCGCTCGTCATTAAAGGGGTACTTCAACGAAATTTGAAATTTATCCATCGTGTTCAAAGATAGGTTGAATATGATCAACAATAACCGTAACTTACAATCGCACGTTTGTATTTTGAGCCTGGTGGCTGTATTTTTTGTTATAGACGGCCCACTCTGGGCAAGCGCTCGGAGAAGGCCCAGCTTAGAGCACGTGACATCCGACGCAATCGTGACGTAGTTCGTCTCGGGACGAGCAAAGCTACGGCGAGGCTGACGTCGAGAGGATGGCCCAGTCGTTCTAGCCACCGAAGCGGCTGCTTTTGTAGGAATTTTGAGTGACGGGTTAATCTTCTATAATCTTGTAGGGGGACAATAGCGACTTCTGCGTCACACAAAAGAGATTCTCGTGAACAGGGGAGTTCATCCTTCTCCTCTTCTCTCGCCGTGGCCGGAGGCGACACAATAACCGTCACCACCTCTCAAGGTTCCTAGACGGGCATTACAAACGAGGCGTTAGCGACATCCACCAGGTGCTCTTTGCTAATCGTTTAATTCGTTTTAAAATTCCTTTTCGAGACTTTTTTAACAAGATATTGGTGTGTCCGATGTGATACTGCTCCTTTGAACACATATAGACCAAAAAATGAGCGCCGAAATTTCGTTGTAGTAAGGCCTTTAACTGCTCAACCTCGCCGGAAAACAAAGAAAGGTAAAGTGCAGGAAGCAAGTGGCCTTGACCAAGGCCTGTCGCAACACCGGCGAGTGTTAATGGATTTTATCGGATTTATCCGAAAACGCAGAAGTCATATTGGCGATATTTATCTGGGACCATTTTTTCCTAGTTTGTACTTGGGACCATTAGTTCCGGGGCCGTTTGTTCCGGGACCATTTCTTCCTGGACCATTTGCTCCGTTTCCTCATTTGATTGGCCAAGTTGATGTCCACGGAAACATATTTCATCACACCGCAAGTTGTCGACACTAATTCAGTTCCAAAATAAAAATTATGGACGAGCGCTCGTTCGTGCTAGGTGTGTCGCGCACGGTACCTTCAAATTTTTATCACCATTTCAAATAAAAGAAAAAAATATTAAGCTGCATTACTAAGCGCACCACAAAACCTCCTCTTAAAATTGTGTTGAGTAAAGTGAAACCTGGATGTCCTATAATGTTCCGGTTGTCGAAGTGCTACGTGCATAAAATAATATAAACATTTTTTAGCATAACATATCCTTATTACTTTTTCCCGACAGAACTCGAAAAATTCATGACAGAACTGGAAAAAGTATAATATTGCCGCGTGCATGATCGAGAAGATACGCTTCTCCGTTCAATAAAAATTATTCTTGCATACTCTTACCCCCAGCGTCCGAGCGTAAGGATAAGAGGCCAGAATGACCTTGCCTAGCCAGCTTCGCCATAGCTCTTTCCCGAACATTCTGGGGTCGATATTCGATATGACGAGCATAGTAGATAAAGAGCCCGAGAGCCGTATTACCAATTCATTCACTGATCCTTTCTCGCGATAGCGAGCTGTTACGCCGACTTACCGTCGCTTGCTCCCGTCGCCGTCGACGCTCCCTGCTGCTTTCTCGACGTGTGTTGTTCTTTTTCGTTTCTGGCACAAGTTCGCCCCCATTAAATCTTTAGTTCATTCCGTTTTCTCCTCATCGTCTGTCATTCATGACAATAGTTCGACCACCATATCCTATACACGAACTGATCTCTGTTACGTCACGGCGCGGTGGTGGCGCGTCGGGCGCACTTCCGGTCTGGGGCTGTGGGCTTACGTCACCATGTGAGACGTGTATTTCCGCGTTGTTTTGAAAGGAACCAGACAAAAACCTGCCTTCTCTTCAAAAGCCGCGACTGGGACTGTACTAAAAGAGTTGAGAAAGGTTTGAAGGTCCGTTTTCATGTGCCGTGAAGAACGTGGATATGTGCCGTGAAAAGGGAAAACCCGGACGCCGTCGGACCACGATTGCTTGGGCGGGAAGCACTTTGGGTTGAATTCACGAATACTAGTGGTCAGCACATTTATTTGTTTTGTTCAAACATGAACGCCAGAAAACCGTCAAGTTGTACGGACCACCTGCGGACTACGTTCAGTGCGTCTTTAAAGGGGTCATGAAACGCTTTTCCAACTTTTTCCTGTTTAGCTTTCCTCCTCAGCTCATAAATCGCGCATTCCACCAAACAGTTAAAGAAGACGAAAAGGGGGAGTCCCCTCTTGCTCGCACTCTCGTTTGTGTAATCCGGACACATCCATTCTCCCCCTAGAAGATTAGCCCGTCGCTCAAAATTCAGACAAAACTTGCTTTCCCCACCCCGTTCATTCCGAAGCTGACAGTGCTGTTGAAGCTACGTGCTCGTTGGGCCAGCCACACTTGCCACGTGAGCGTGGCAAATGTGGCTGCAGAGAATGAAGTCAGGTGATGAAAGGGAGGCGGCTGATTGGTCCGGCAAGCGCGTAGCTTCCACCACAATGTAAGCTTAGGGGTGAAGGGAGTAAGTGAGGTCCGGTTGCGTGTGACGTCAGTTTGGACCCGATAACGCGCTTTTGGGACCGCGGATGTATCACAGTGAAAAGGCAGAGAGGTTGCGAAGGGGAGGAGGTACGAAATAGTCCGCTCTGTTTTCAAATTTTCGCACTGAAAGTTAGGCTTTTGACTTTCTACCTTTTTTCTTTTGGTCCACTGAACGATGTGCTATTAGTAAAATCCCAATCTAAAATGATTTATCCCAACCCCAAAATGGTTTCATGGGCCCTTTAAGTTCAAACGGCCGCCCGATCGTTCGAACTGTTGTCTGCTCTTTCAAACGTTTCTACTTGTCGTCTGCTCTTTTAGACGACACCGGCCCGTTGGCCAAATGTTGGCCGGGTACTTGCGATAAGAAGTAAGTGCAGGCCTCAAAAGACTTAAGTTTGAAGGTTGGTAAGCAGGCTCGATGTAAACAGTAGATATAAGGAAATGTTGATCATTGTTACCAGTGGACGTCACCGACTTATTATGCCCGATTCACTTGATCCGATTCTGCTTGTGATTTTCAGTATCCACGTCGACCCTCAGCTACGGTTCACGCTTTTGCAGCCCCGATCGACGTCGCAACTGAAAATTGCGATCGAAATCTCATCATGCGAATCGGGCTTTAGCGCCCATTCTGCGGCGTCCACGCGGAATGAATCGCGGCATGTCACATTATTCACGCAAAGTTTTGCGGTGTAAAGAGCCTCGGTAATTTCGTTGAGGCCGCTCAAATAGTCGGGCATTTCCAGGAAGACATAGAATCAACAATTCGAACGCGAAAGGGGGCTGGGGGACTCGCACAGACTCCGACAACATCGCATTTCAGTGGTTTGTTTATGGGCGACGGCGAGCTTCTGGCCCCCAATCCATCGCGCATGGGCGGCGCCGGTGGCATCCGCTAGGGGCGCTCCGGTTTGTTTGTAAACATGAGTTGGTGTATAGCAAGCAACAAGCATCTTTGGTTTTTGCTTTATTTCAAAACACCGTCATTTCTTTTTATAACTGGAACCTTTACAAGAAGACGATAGCACATGTTGTTTAGCAATTGCATGTAAAATTTGTTTGAATAATTGCAATCACATGATTCTGGAAGAAATATTAAATCTAAATTTTAGGACTGGAGTCAAAATATGATTTCGGCTAAAATAGTTTCCTGCACTCTCAGGTTTTATTTTTAAATTTCAAGATCAGAAGTATTGAAGATAAACTCTGATGGTCCTATTATTGCACCGCCCACATTTTCATATTCCATTATAGCCATGAAAACTACGCCAGCTACGGAGACGCCCCCACCTGCGTGCTGAACAGGCCTTTGTCTACGCTACTGGGGCTCCGCAAGACTTGTGAAAGTGCTTCAATTCTGAAATAAATACACATATCTAACTACACGGTATTAACATCATGTATGGAGAGGTGGTTAAATGCGCTATGCTACTTAATTTAACCTCTCCTTAGTCTTAATAAACGACTTCAATATCGACCTGACCTCACCTGTGAGTGTTTTTTTTTTAATTACTTGATATTGTTCAGACATGCGAATGTTATAATACAATTCTATTTCAAACTCGAATAACGTCAGAAACGGGAACGCCTAATTGATCTATGTATTACAAACTGTCATAAGAAGGCTGCTGGTGTCTTGTATCGTAATCTAAGTGGCCACTTACCAATATTCAGCTTTATTGTTGGCCCACCAAATTTAAAGAGTAATTGTGATAATAACGCTCTTGTGCTATTTAGGAAAATTGATAATAGCTTGATTCGGCTCTTCTATTTTTTGGTAGCGGATGTAAACTGGGAATCTGTAGTAACCGAAACAGACTCCAATAAGCAATACATTTCTAGGTTTTATACAGAGGTGTTATGAACAGGCATTTCCGTGGCAAGAATATGAGAACTGTAAAGATCAAGAAAACCATGGATTTCATGTACGTTACATAAACACATATGGCAACATAATAAATTGTACGAAAAGTTCGTTACAACAAGAGATACTGGTATACTACACTACAAGAATTCAAGAAGGTGAGAAACAAACTCAAATCGAATATTAAAAAAAGCGAAAGCTCACTACTACAAAAATAAGTTTAGTTCGATATATGATAATTCAAGGAAAGTATGGCAGGCTGTAAATGAACTTACTTCTAAACACCGTGCTGTCGCCTTAAAACAACTTACAATCGAGCAGACGACCTACTCTGGCCAATCTCTTGCAAACTAATTTAACTCTCATTTTTTAGTATCGAGTTCTTTAATGTTACCTACCACGAGTAGGCCTAGGTGCGAATCTTATGTTACATTACCTTTGGATAACTCAATTTGTCTAGCACCCTGTAGTGAAATAGAAGTAAACACGATTATTAAATCCTTAGGCAACGGTGCCGCCTGCGGTGAAGATGGGTTGTGTTCTAAGCCAATAAAAGAAATTTCCTCTTTAATCTGTTCACCCCTTGTCCACATCTGTAACACTATTTTAAGCACTTGTACCTTTCCAGAAAAATTGAAAATAGCAAAAGTATGTGTAATTCATAAAGGCGGTCCTAAGAATAACATGAGTAACTATAGACCAATCTCGGTACTACCGGTTTTCTCAAAAATAGTCGAACGCGTTATTTACAAACGTTTAGGTGAATTCTGTGTTAAACATAACATTATTACAAGCAACCAGTATGGATTCCAGAAAGGTAAATAAACGGAGATGGCATTGCTAAATATAAAAAATAAAATCCTAGACAACATCGAAAACCAATGTTATACACTAGGTGTATTTATAGATTTCAAAAAAGCATTTGACTCCATAAAACACGACATCCTACTCCGAAAACTACCGCTTCATGGAATAAGAGGTAATGCACTTAGCCTGATTTGCAGCTACTTAACATCTCGTCTTCAGTATACGGTCCTCAATGATGCGCGCTCTTCTCTAGTAAAAATGCAGTACGGTGTACAGCAGGGGTCGATTCTCGGGCCTCTACTTTTCCTTCTTTACGTTAACGGCACTATAAACACCCCAGAAACTCCTGACATACCTTCATACGCAGGTGACACGAATGTATTTTTCACCGGTAATTGCTAATGGTACCTTAGAAACACAGACAAACACATGGTTGGACCAACTTCACTTGTGGTTAGTTACCAATCAGTTAGAACTAAATACGTGGAAAACTAAGTATATCATTTTCAGAGCTAAAAACAAACAAAATTACTAACACAATTAATATATCCTTTCAAAACTTGATTATTGAACGCGTGGAATCTTATAAATTTCTTGGTGTTCGTTTCCACGAAAGTTTGTATTTGACTGCCCAAGTAAAAGATCTCCGAAAAGACATTTCTAGACCCATCGGCTTACTTTTTAGGTGCAGAAAACTTCTTCCAAACTGGTTAAAACGACAAACCTATACTTCTATGACTCACTCGGGGCTTTATTACTGTTTATTGGTGTGGAGGACTGTTGTAAATTGTAATTTTGACACCTCCTACAGTCCTACTCACGGGAAACAGCCGTACAGTGCTCGTGTAAATATGCGGTTGACGAAAACGAGGAAGACGAGAGGACAGTTGGGCGGGGGACAGATCGAAGAAGAAGATGTACGGAACGACTGCGATGACCAACACCCGTCGATTAACTTCGCCATGTAAATAGTAAATTTATTTAGTTTTCATACCGTAAGTCTTTGACGTTCAATTACTGCAACAACTGAATGGTGCCGAAACCCGGGACTTCAAGCCAGGAACGACCCTCAGCGAAACGAAGTCAGTTGCTGAGCAGCAAACGAGTGAACGCCATGGACTAACCTCGAACGAAATTTGGATCGACATCGAAACAAGTAAGCAACCCTATTACCCGAAGCTTACCAACCTCTCGATTTATTCAAACATGGAAAGGGTGCGAACGAAAAGGACTGCTCGCAGAGCACAAAATACCCGAATTGTCAGAGAGGCCACCGCAATTCTCAACGCTGCGGATGTAATTCAAATCGAGGCCATAGCAAGAAAGCTTGAGGTAAATTATGAAGAACTCAAGAAGCTGAACACCGAGCTCGAGCCCTTCATTGCTGATGGAGATCTCGAGAACGAATACCAGTCGGTAATTGAGTACGAGGAAGAAACGACCCAAACCTTGAGCATGCTTCAAAGTCGAGCAGTGCAACTACGTTCTGGTGAACCAGCGCGACCATCAACATCGGCAATTGCCGCGCGAAGCGAAGAACGAAGACGGAGCGGTATTAAACTACCGAAGTTGCAGCTGCAATCCTTTAAGGGCGAGCTTGCTGTGTGGCAGCCATTCTGGCAACAATTCAAGCGTGCCATTCACGAAAACGGAGAGCTGTCAAGCGGCGAGAAGTTTCAATACTTAAGGACGCTGGTTAGTGGACCCGCCAAGGCATCTATCGATGGTCTCCAAGTGACGGATGCGTGCTACAACGACGCAATTGAAATCTTAACTAGACAGTTTGGAGACTACAGGCGAATCCAGCAAGACCACCTTACAAAGCTTCGAACGCTTCCGAGTGTCACCTACTCAAACGACACCAAGGGTTTAAGGAGACTTTACGATCAGGTGCAAACCCACATCCGCGGTCTTCATGGACTTGGTGTCAGCTCAGACAGCTACTCGACCATGCTGATGGACATTGTCATCAAGGCTCTTCCATCTGAAATAGTGGTGGATTTCTACCGACGTGCTGGCCATTCTGAAAGGAAGACCCTCCATCCGTATGAGGGAGACGTGGCTGCACATTCATCTCCACCCACATTACACGCAGAAGAACTGGGGTCAATCTCAGGTACTTCCAGACCTGCTGAGCTGTCCGCCAGACCAACACCTCGAACTGAGGACGTTCAACTGAACAGCCGAAGGGCGGAGGGAGATTTGCAGCAGTTGCTCGAATATCTGCTAATCGAGATCGAGAGTAGAGAAAGATCTGGTGTCAGAGATGATCGTCCACCAAGAAAAAATCTAGAGCAACTACATCAACGAGCTCATCTTCCGACTTCTGCGGTTCTCCATGCCAAAGCTCAAGATAACAAGAAGGAGTGCATTTTTTGCAAAACTACAGGACACAGCACGGAAAACTGCACCAGTAACATCTCTCTAATGGAGAAGAAGAAGAAACTCTCAGGAGAGATGCGGTGTTTCCGGTGCACCCTAAGAGGGCATAGGTCAAAGGACTGCCACAGGAAATTGTCTTGCACTTCCTGTGCGGGGCGACACGCAACATCCATGTGCGATCCGACCTGAAAGCCTTCAGCGAACACGAGTGCAACACAAACCATGACGACTAGCGTTCAAAGCGCTGGCACTGCTAGCACCGAGATTTCGATAGACGACGACGTCCTACTTCAGACCTTTCGAACCTGGGTGGTCGAGGATGGGAATACTGTCTACGCACGTGCCATCTTAGACGGTGGAAGTCAGCGAACGTTTATACGAGAAGACGTTTCTCGCAAGTTGAATCTTAAGGTGCTAGGAGAGACCAGACTACGCTTGAACACCTTTGGAAGTTCCACTTCACTGCCGAAAAAACGAAGGCTTGTTGAAGTGAAGCTGCGTAGTCAGTACAACAACGAAGAATGCAGCGTTGAAGCGGTAGAAATCCCATTTATATGCGAGGACATTGTTCAGATACTTGTAAACCATGAGTTTGTCCGCAGCATTGAAGAAGACGGAGGCTGCATCGCTGACAAACTTCTCTTTCCCGGCGTTCCTACTGAACCAGGCATCAGCCTGCTCATTGGGTCGGACCAAATCTGGAAAGTCGCCAGTGAGCGGGCGCAACGTTGTGAAAGCAACTGCAGCCTGATGGCTTTAGACACTAAATTTGGGTGGACATTTCAAGGACCCGTAACGCTGCAGTGCTCGCTTACTGGTCGCGCCAACACGATGGTGTGTATACTAAAGATCGGAACCATCGAAGTCGTAGATGATGCGACCTTACGCAGCTTTTGGGATATCGAAAGCATAGGAATAACAGACAACGCGTGTAGCTCAGGTGAAGAACAAAACGAGGTGTGGAACGACTTCAAACGAACTATTGCAAAAGTGAATGGACGGTATGAGGTGTGCTTGCCATAGAAACCTAACGCAGGGGAGCTAAACGATAACCGAGCTACAGCTATGAAACGACTCAAGGGATTGCAGAAGAGGCTATCACGCAACGAGTCCCTTTCCATAGAATATAGCAACGCTATGCTTAACTACCTTAATGATGGACATGCGGAGAAGGTTCCCTCAGAGTTACCATGCACAAACTCACGCACCTACTACATGCCTCACCAAGCAGTGATCCGAATGGACTCCGAAACTACAAAACTGCGAGTTGTGTTCGACGCGTCGTCCCATGCAAATGAAGCTGCTTCACTGAACGATCATCTAGAGAAGGGGCCCAACATGAACGCGGATCTAGTCGAGGTCCTAATACGCTTTCGAACATATCCTATTGCTCTCACAGCAGACATAGAAAAGGTCTTTCTTCAAGTGAGCGTGAGACCAGAGGATCGTGACGCACTCCGTTTTCTGTGGTTTGACACTAAGTATGAAACGTCAAACAAAGAGCCACCAACTGAAGAATGGAGAATGACACGCGTGCCATTTGGAACATCGGCAAGCCCATTCCTTCTATCGGCTACTCTGAAACATCATTTTCAAAGTGTGACAGGAGATATGAAGGATACTGAAAGACTTCTTCAAAAGTCATTCTATGTAGATGACTTGTTCTTGGGTACGAAAACAATCGAAGAGGCTGCGGATTTACATAAGCAAGCCAATGAGATTTTGAAATCTGCAGGCATGACACCGCGAAAATGGGCAACCAACGCAAGACATCTTCAGGATATGCTTAACGATGGTCATAACACGTCAACGTTTTCAGAGCCCAGAGGAATTCTTGGACTGCGATGGAGAAGGGATAACGACACTTTGATGATTCCAGTCAAGAATGTACTCAACTTCATCAACAGCAACACCACAACGAAGCGTTGTGTACTACGTGCTGCAGCGAGGGTCTTCGACCCTCTTGGGCGTATTTCCCCGTTTGTAATAAGGGTAAAGGTTTTGTTTCAGCGATTGTGGGAACGCGGACTTAACTGGGACGAAGAGCTTCCTGAAGAGCTCTCAGGAGACTGGCAACAATGGTGCAAAGAGGTTTCACAGATAGAAGATATTGCGACCAACCGGTGTGTCATGAGCGCACAAGAAGAGCACAAGACGTCTCTACAACTGCATGTCTTCTGTGATGCCAGTCCCCTCGCTTATGGAACATGTGCCTACCTGAGGGTGAAAGAAATGAATGGGAAGACAGATGTCAGTCTGGTATTCTCTAAGACTAGGGTAGCGCCTATAAAACGCTTGACACTTCCGCGCCTGGAGCTTATGGCGGCAGTGATTGGGAACCGAATAGGCAACTACCTGAAGAAGATGATGGACCTCCAGGAAATATTCTTCTGGACAGACAGTGCTATTGCTCTTCGCTGGATCAAGGGTTCAGCAGTGAAATGGAAACCTTTCGTGTCTAATAGGGTTACCGAAATTCAATCTGGTGGGGAACCGGCCAGTTGGAACCACTGCCCTGGACTTGACAACCCTGCGGACTTGATGACACGAGGAATATCAATAGACAAATTACGAAAGAGTCAACTCTGGTGGAACGGCCCTAGGTGGCTCTCTGAAGATAGAGACACCTGGCCAGGTGTCATTACAAGCGAAAATATTCCGACGAAAGTAGAAGAAGAGGAACGAAAAAGTAAACATCAAGTGCTTCAGATACAAACCAATGTAACGACACCTCTTTTGAAGCTGGAACAATACAGCAGAATAGGACGACTACTACGAGTCACTGCATGGATAATGAGGTTCGTTAATAACTGTAGAACGCCTCAAAATCGCACCAAAGGTCCTCTAATAACTGAAGAGATTGAAAGGGCAGAACTGCATTGGGTCAGGCGAACGCAAGAGGAGGCTTACCCCAAAGAGCTCAACGAACTGCTGGAGGGAGGGAGACTAACCGAGAAATCCAGCATCATCGCTCTCAACCCCTACCTCGACGCACACCGGCTCATGAGAGTTGGCGGACGGCTACAAAATATGAACCAAGCAGTGGAGATCAAGCACCCATTACTACTGCCACCTGAACATCGTTTCACTGAACTGCTGATTAACGACATGCATAGGCGTACACTACATGGAGGACTTCAAGACACTGTGACACAGTTACGTGAACTTTATTGGGTGCCAAGGGCACCACAAACCGTCAAGAGGGTTATAAACCGATGCAACGCCTGTGCGAGGTCAAGAGTCAAAAGAGCATCAGCACCGACCGCACCACTTCCAAAAGACCGCGTAATTGAGGCGAACCCATTCGAAGTAGTAGGAGTGGACTTTGCCGGACCTTTGATAGTCAGATCCGGACACTCCGAGAAAAAAGCATATATAGCACTATTTACTTGTGCAGTTACTCGTGCTGTCCACCTGGAACTAGTTACAAGCCTCGCAACTCCAGCATTTCTCATGGCCTTCCAGAGATTTACAGCAAGGAGAGGGACGCCTAGAGTAGTATACAGCGACAACGCCTTGACTTTCAAGAGAGCCTCAAAAGACGTCCGCGACTTATGGAACGTGCTGAAAGACAAAAGAGTGCAAGAACACTACACCGAACAACGAATACATCGGAAGTTCATTGTTGACCGAGCTGCCTGGTGGGGGGGTTTTTGGGAACGCATGGTACGCACTGTCAAAACAAGCCTTCGGAAAGTTCTTGGAAGAAATTGCTGCAGTTTTGAAGAACTTACCACTATACTCCATGAGATTGAGGCAGTCGTTAACTCACGGCCCCTCTCATTCCTGCATGCCTCTCCCGACGAGCCCGAAGCGTTGACCCCGGCGCATTTTCTGACTGGAAAGCGACTGACAGCTCTTCCAACTGCGGGTGCTGAGAAACTACAAGCCACTACGAGAGAAAATGTCACCCGGCGTTGGAGAAGGCATCAACAACTGCTAGACCACTTTTGGCAGCGGTGGCGAAAAGAATACTTGCTCCAGCTGCGATCAGCACACGAAACAACTTGTCGCCGAAACAGCCAAGTTCAAGAAGGAGACCTGGTTCTAGTTGAGGAGAACAAAACTCCCAGACACCTGTGGCGGACTGGACGAATTGGGCAGGTATTCTACGGCCGGGATGGTATAGTGCGATCATGCGCTGTGAACTTGCCAGGTGGACAAGTGTTGAAAAGACCCGTTCAACTTTTATATCCCCTAGAGCTTTATATTGGATGAGCGATCTAATAACGCTCATTTGGGGGCAGTGTGTTGTAAATTGTAATTTTGACACCTCCTACAGTCCTACTCACGGGAAACAGCCGTACAGTGCTCGTGTAAATATGCGGTTGACGAAAACGAGGAAGACGAGAGGACAGTTGGGCGGGGGACAGATCGAAGAAGAAGATGTACGGAACGACTGCGATGACCAACACCCGTAGATTAACTTCGCCATGTAAATAGTAAATTTATTTAGTTTTCATACCGTAAGTCTTTGACGTTCAATTACTGCAACAAGGACAACCACAGGAAATCATATTAAGCAATTACTTACATTACAAAAACACGCAGTTTCGCTAATTGATAATTTGCCCCGGTTTCAATCATCAGAAGATATGAAGTTGATATTTTTGTCTGCACGTTTGAAGAAGGAAAATCGGAGTATCTTGAAAAGCTTATTAGGTCAACGGCCCCGGAGTTGCATTTCACAGTTTGAAAACTGGAGGAGAACATGTTGCAGTTTTTGGACTTGCGCATTCAGGTAAAAAATGGCTTATGTTGGGAATATGGTAAGAAGATGGCTAAACCGGTGCTTCCGAGACAAAGTTGTCACTCTAAAATTATTAAGGCGGGAGTTGCGAAATCATTAATTGGTAATGCGCTAAAAAGGTCATGTACCCATTTCATGAGTCAAGCTTTAAAAAGACAATGGGGTAGAGTGGAGGACGCGGGGTATGAGGAAACTTTACTAAAACGGCAACTTTCTATTCAAATCAGAGACAAGCGGAATGAACCAACTGTGAGGAACCGACGAGTTGCTATACAGTATTTTCACGATATTTCCCATAACATAAAAGCGTCGGCGAAAAAGTTTGGCGTAGAAACAGTGTTCACATCCGATTTTAAGTTATGCAAGCTTACACCTTTTGAATCGAAACAGGAAGTTCCCCAGAAGGCACATCGCGAGAAGTCGGTACCGTGTGAGAATT